TGACCCTGGTGACGACGTCGTCCAACAATACGTTCCACGTGATAGTGAACGTCACCGTTCTCATCGAGAGAGTCGGTGGCGGGCGGTGACGACCGGGTCGACGGCCGTCCGGTGACTCGTGATGCTCTTCGAGCCCTTGAGGACAAGGTCCTTCGTAATCGGTGCTCCGCTGAGCGTCATGCCGTAGTAGCATATCGCTGTGCGGACGCTCGTGACGATTTAAAGCACGTCGTGCGCCGCCTGCCTCGCCTTAATGACTACCGCTCTCTGTCGGAGCGACTCCCGTGAATTCATCGTTGAAGGCAACGGTGGAGCGCTTGGGTCCATTGGAAATTGAGGTTGTTGCACTCCGTGCTCAAACCAGTTGTTGATTCAACTTTTGGGTGGCCGCGGGCCCGTGGAATCCGCTCCGGCTTCAACGCTTCCGCGTTCACTTGCGCCGGGTCCCGGTACGGCTTGAGCAAGCCCACTTAAAACATCGGTTGGGTGCGCATCCGTTTTGAAAGGTTCAGCGTGTATGCCAGGCCACAACCTTAAACGGTTCGATAAATGTGGACGAAGCTTCGTCCGAAAGATAGCAGAGGCTGCATGTGTAGGCAGCTTTTTTCGAATTCAATAACACCAGGTCCCCGACCTTAAAGCTTTCCACTTTGCCTCTTTCTTTTTAGTTTGCATATTGTTTCTGCAGGTCTTGGCTTTCAGCCATCGCATCGCGAACGTGTCGTAGGACACTTAGTTTGTTAGACAAGAAGTCATCGACTTCCTTACGGATGGTGAGGGGACTGACATCAGCTAGCCGTTCGGCTATTCCTCGCCCACAAGCCCAAGCCCTGAGCCATGGGATGGCGGCGTCAGCGGGACACGAGGGTGAATCAGCCTACTCACGTAGAACGGCGTGTAGCCGGGAGACGAATGCACCTCATTGTTTAGTGCGAACTTTACGAGTGGCAACATGGCGCTCCAGGGCCTCGGCGACTCAGCGCAGACGCTGCAAAGAATGTCTTCGATGACGTGATTCACCCTTTCGGTTTGACCATCGGTTTGAGGATGACCCGCTGTCGACATATCTAATTTGGTGCCAAGCACCTTGAGGATAGTCGACCAAACTTTTTCCATGAAACGGGGGTCTCTATCAGAAACAATCGACTCTGGGAGTCCGTGTCGTCAAAAAAGATGACTTACAAACAGCGTTGCTGTACCGACTCCGTCGATGGTGTCTGGCACCGCCGCCAAATGA